ATTTATGGTAGAAGCCCTCCTCAAGGTACATGTGTGCTGCTTGAAGTATCATCACAGAAGAGCTTAGTACATTATTTTCAGAGTATACATAACAATGATATATTTGAGTTAAAAGGGGTTAAAATTAATCAAGTTCAGAATGGTACCCTTTTTTCAGAGTCATGGCTGTGAAATAGACTTATTCATGACCGGCAATGACGAAATTGCGTGATGACAGTAACAATGGGAATATGGCAGTCCTCTAAAGATAACTCCAGATGTGCGATGTTCAAAGTCCGAGTTCACGCAGCTATGTGTCTAGTTCTACATGCGACGTAACGGAGCCATTTATTTTTCCAAATTATTTTAGTTGCGCCAAGAGCTTTTAAACTCTTCTAATATTTGTCCGACAGAATAAGTATGTAAATTCATTCAGGAAAAGTGAAAATAACAGGCGAAAGCCACAGATCCGTAAGAGAACGACAGCTCACCTTTTAAAACAAACACGAGCCGCGTTCAGTTTCCTGGTCGTTTGATTAGTGAAACCAGAATTTGGAAACTGGAAGAAAAACTTATCCTGTCAATCTTAACTACAAATAAATAAGCATTCTCGTCTAAGCGTGAGGTGAAGAAGGCTGGATATTCCCTGAGTTCCTTTTCCTAGCGTTTGTAATGATTATGATCGATATTGTGCTCTTAAAATTTGACTTGCCTTGTTTCTTATTTAACCGTCAACCTGTCAGAGTTGATTCACAAATGGCTTCTCGTTTTCAGCATCAAAACATTATCATGCGAACAGGTGCTGAGAATACACAGACTGATCATCTTAAGGATGCCATCTTGACCCAACATCGAATTCTCTTCGGTGAAGAAATTTTTTGGTACCAAGGTGGAAAAATTGCACATCAGATCTTGGAGATGAAGGTTTAAGGGTTCAAGAGTTTAAAGTTTAATATCTATGTCAAACTTTGCAACAGAAAGTCTTCCTCAATATCTGAGATTGTTTGGATCTCTTGTATTCCTAGTCTATCACTGATTGAAACAAGTTTCCGTAGAAGTTATTTTGATTGTTTAAAAATAGCATATAATTTTTTTTAATTTTAGGTAGTTTTTTTTTCAGCTGCTTTCCATATAAACGAACCGTTCAAGTTTGTCGCGTTCAGTTCGCGTGACTTCAGAAATACATCAAAAGCAAGAAATTGAAATAAAAATCTGTAAAGAAAAGATGAAGGCAAATAACAAGAGTCACGCGGGTGAGGAACAAAATGTTAACTTCATCGATTAAAAAAAATTACAGAGAATCTCAGTTTAATTATTTAGACAACTGAAACGACAAATCGTCAGCAGGTTTAAGAGAGTCTCAGTGGGGTGATGGTGTTTATGGCCACCAGTTGAAATTTCGGGCATATTACGGCTAACGGTTAATTACTTTCGGTTGCGATGAACAAAATAATTTTTATGGCTAGTTTTTTTCTACGCTCAACGGTTAATCTTTTTTGTCGTTTTACGGCTAACGGTTAAACCCATCGAGAACCTCGTTTCAAAGATTGCTTTCACGTTTAAATCCTCTACCACCGAATATAACCAAGTTTTTGTCA